CCTCCGTCCAGGGCCCACAGCCTCCTCCCCCTCCTCCTCCTCCTGGCAGCCCACCTGGCTTCCGTGGCTCCCCTGCCTGACTTCGCTGCTTCCCAAGTCAGCAGGTAAGTGATGCCAGAGGGGCTGGGAGGTCATACACTGCTGGGCCTGACCCCGCCCCCTTTCCTGATGCACACGGCCCGTTCCCTCCAGCCTCACCGTGGCTGCCCTGGGCTGTGACTCAGTCAGCTCCTGCCCATTTTCTTTCTTTTTAAAAAATATCTTTTAGTATTGATTTCAGAGAGGAAGGGAGAGGGAGAGAGAGACAGAAACATCAGTGATGAGAGAGAACCCTTGATCGGCTGCCTCCTGCACACCCCACACCAGGGATCGAGCCCGCAACCCGGGCCTGTGCCCTGACCGGGAATCGAACCCTGACCTCCTGGTTCCTAGGTCAACGCTCAACCCCTGAGCCATCCCGGCAGGTTGCTCCTAACCATTTTCTAGGGGTGAAGTTCTCCATTTTAGGGGTGTTTTGGTCTCCAGTTTCTGCAGGAGGAAACTGAGGCCCTTGTTTGGGGGGGCCCACTGCCTGTGGGGCTGGGGTAGCTGCAGAGGGCGGGCAAGCAGGTGCCAGCCGCTTCATCCCCATCAGCGAGTGCGGGCAAGTGGCCCACAGCAGGCGGGGACTGCCACCCAGTGGCCATCCGTGGTCAGGCCCCAGGCTTGTGGGATCCGCTGCCTCCTGCACGCCCCACGTGGGGAATGGAGCCCACAACCCTGGCCTGTGCCCTGACTGGGATGGAACCACGACCTCCCCCCTTACTCCGCTCCCTGCTGGCCAAGTGACCCTGCAGACGTCCCTGCCGCCCTGGGGGTCGGGTTCCCTCTCTGTGTGTAAAACGGGGTTCACCCCTTCGCCCCGGCCTCATCACAGTGTTCAGTGCCGCTGGGTTCGTCGTGTGCGGCTCAGTCTGTACGGCCACCGATGTGGCTCCCAAATGTTTACAACCAAGACAGCCCCAGGATGGTGGGATCCGCTGCCTCCTGCCACGTGGGATGGAGCCCACAACCCGGGCCTGTGCCCTGACTGGGATGGAACCGTGACCTCCCCCCCTTACTCCGCTCCCTGCTGGCCGAGTGACCCTGCAGACGTCCCTGCCGCCCTGGGGGTCGGGTTCCCTCTCTGTGTGTAAAACGGGGTTCACCCCTTCGCCCCGGCCTCATCACAGTGTTCAGTGCCGCTGGGTTTGCCGTGCGCAGCTCAGTCTGTACAGCCACCGATGTGGCTCCCAAATGTTTACAACCAAGACAACCTTAGGAGGTACCGGGGTCTCCAAAGTGGGGCTGTGTACCCCAGCTGGTGAGCAAAACCATCCGCTGGGGTATGGGAAGAAAATATTAGACCCTCTGATTATATATATTTTTAAATCTCATCCTCTTAAAATCCTATTTCTGTATTTGCTTTATTATACCTATAACCATATTAGCAGAGTAGCACACACATGACTTATAAGTAACATACACATACAGGGGCGCATGGTAAAAAAATTAACAATATGAATGTGTGGTCACTGCTTTTGGGGGGGGTCCTATAACATTTTTTCGCATACTGGTATGCAGATGTGAAATAGGGTGTGTGTTTTTTTGTTTCTTTTTTAAATACAAGATGGTGTACCTTTACTATACATGCTACCCACCCTTACATCTATTTTTCTTAATCTAACATTTCTTTTTTGGGAGACGATTAAATTTTGGGCTGACAAAAATCTCACTTGATACCCAAAACAATTTGTTTGGTTTGGAAATTCAGAGAGGAAGGGAGAGGGAGAGGGAGAGAGAGAAACATCAATGAGGAGAGAGAAGCACGGATGGGCTGCCTCCTGCAGGCCCCACACCGGGGATCGAGCCCCAAAGGCAGGCATGTGCCCTGACCTCCTGGTTCATAGGTCGGGGCTCAACCGTTGAGCCACACCAGGCGGGCATGACTTGCAGCTTTTAAAACAAAGCTCTGCCCTAACCGGTGTGGCTCAGTGGATAGAGCGTGGCTGCGGACTGAAGGGTCCCGGGTTCGATTCCGGTCCAGGGCATGTACCTTGGTTGCGGGCTTGATCCCCAGTGGGGGGCGTGCAGGAGGCAGCTGATCTATGTTTCTCATCTATGTTTCTCTTTATCCCTCTCCTTCTCCCTTTCTGTAAAAAAAAAACAATAAAATATATTAAAAATAAATATTTCACTGAAAAGTGTTGACGCAACAGAACCAGTCGAAACGGAGAACCCGGGCCCCACGCACGCACCTGCCAGCTGCAGGAACCCGAACCCGCGTGCCTCCGTGAGCCCATCACCGAGACCCCGCCCCCTAGGGGAGTAGGGCGTGGCCTCCCGACCCCAGGGCGGGACGGGGCGTGGCCTCCGAG